CAGATGGAAAAGCATAGCTTCTGAAAGGAATTCCATGTGATTGAGGGTGAGTAACGCGATGAACCGTGATGGTGGAGGGTGAGGCTCAATCTAAAGTCGGCATATGGTGGTTAGAGGCGGGCTGAGACCAACAGAGTTGAGGGGTGCACAGGAGTTGGAGAGGTCTAGGTAGCCGGGGGCCGGAGTTTAATGGCGATGAGTCGACGGCGTTCGTTCAAGGTTGGGCAAATCGGAAGTGGCTGAAGTGTTGCGATGCAGGCTCTCTGTGTCTGTGAGACGCACGCACGCGAGCAGAATTGGAGTCTTCTTTTTTCCCCCTTTGGGCGGCTGCCGCTCCGATTTGGATTGCGGGGATGAGGGTTGTAAAAGGTCGCGAGAGGAACCCTACGTCGAAGTCGCGGGCGGGGGAGCGAGCGCGTTCGGGCGGGCGCCGATGATTGTTGAGGAATGCTGGCGCGAAGGGGGGTAACGTTGGCGGCGCAAAGGCACGATAGAGGGTTGGGATGTGATAAAAAGTTGAGTCGAAGGCGGAAGGAGAAATGCGTGTGTGTGAGAGGCAGTTGAATGTGACGCAGTCAAAGAGAACCAGATGGTCGGGACAAAGGCGGCGGCGATTGCAGTGGCGGATCAAGATGGGCCGGGGGGTTGGTTTGAGAACTCGGTATCTGGGGTGAGCGGTGCCGACTGGAGGTGGTCTCGTACTTTGGCGAAGAGCAACGAAGGCGGCAGAAGTGATCTGTAATATTCGCTGAATGGGACCTGGTTTCCGTTGAACGCGGGGCAGGGAGAGTGTGTTGTGGTAACAGTTGGGTGTTGCAGTGAGTGAGTGCAGTTGTGGTCAAGCGTGGGAGCGAGGATAGTGGTGGTGATATTTGGATTGGACGGAATAGTATCGGGATTGTCGTCGTGGAAGTCGGAAAGTGGACGAGGTCGGTATGAAGTAAGGCGAAGAAAGGGTTGTGTACTTGTGGACTTGTGGTAATTAGTGGTGGAGGATTGGCAGTGTCGGAGGTGGGCGGAATGTCGATTTGAGTTGTGTGGTGTCCGACGTGGTAAAGAGAGAGGGCGGGTTTAGCTTGGCGGGGATTAGTTGATGTGTCGAGGACGGGAAAACCTGGTCAACAGGCAGAAGAAACGAAGACAGGCCGCAAGTCGCAGGTGCAAGCGGTACGTCGAGAGGGTGGAAGGGATAGGCCGAGGGCGGGTGAAGTGCGATTTGCTCCGTTGTGGTGGTGGTAGGTACTTGGATGATGGTGGTGGTGGTGGTGGTGGTGAGGGCGGCGAGGATGATGGTGCGGGAGAGGGTGGTAAGGTTTCCGGAATCTCAGCGTCGGTACCTCACGGCAGAGAGATTGACATGGACATGGGCATGGCCCGGGAAGGGGGTGTGCGGTCAGGTCAATGGTGCTGCGTCCATGATGTTTTGTGACGAGGGACTCGAGCGTTGATGATGATGATGGTGTTTTGGTAGGAGGAAGATGCAGAAGCACAAGCACAAGCAACAAGAGAGAGGAGGAGAGAGTAAGGTAAGGTAGAGCAGAGCAGCAGCTGTAATTGCGGGCAGCACATGGCACTGGGCAGAGAGAGAGAGGGACGGAAGTGCCGCAATCGTGGGTGGAGCGGCAGCTGTGGGGTACGTACTCGTTGGAGTATCAAGTCTCTCTTCTTCCATATCTCTCTCTTTCTACCTTACTATGCAGTAAGGTACTACTCCATAAGGTACTTCAAGCCTACCTTAGGTACTACGCAGTGCTCCATACTGCAAGTGAGAGGAACCTGGTCTTCACGGTTCATCCCCGATGCCCGCTCCACGCCACGCTCATAACGCGGCGACGCCCACGACGACGGCCCAACGACTGGGACCTTTTGAGGTGGATTATCTTTGGGTAGTGGAGCTGGAATGGAGCATTGGATCGTGCTCTCTTTTTTTCCATCTGCCCTTTGGCGGCCTAGCCCTGGGACTGGTACACTAATAGCATCTGGATTACTACGCAGTGGGTAACCGTGCCTTATGTAAGTGGACAGTACTCCGTACTTTGTGTCAAGTATCTATTAGAATATGGACTCGTTGTTAGGTTGTCTGCCATTGGGTTCTTTCCGCGTCGTCGTCACTTCTCTCGCCGTCTTTTTTCCGGCAGTATCTCGTTCTTTCCATCCTTGACTCTTGCATTCTGACTTCCTTCCCTCCCATCGCAGCAACACCCCGAGGTATTCTTCGGAGAAACTTGGAATGAGGCATGTAAGTAATGTGGCACGGCCGGTACGTACTACGATACCTTAGCTCGCACATCCCGAGAATACCTCACTTTAGGCAAGGTAGGTGGTGGAGGTACCTGACCCTGCCCTTCTTGTGTACCTTAGCTCGAGGCACATTGTGAACGGCAAGATGATGCATGTCTGACTTCTGACTCTGTCAGGCTTGGTCAGCGGCTATGGCAACGGCAGCAGTAACGGCAACGGCAGAGGCGGCGGCGGCAGCCACATCATTTCATCTCTTCCCGCCAAAACCTCATTGTGCATGACTTGTCGTTGGACGTCTTGAAGATCCCTCCTTCTTTCCGCCTCCCATCTCGCAGTGTCTTTTCCCGAGAGCTGATACTGGTATGGGGAGCGGCAGCAAGGCATAACAACATGGGGGAAATCTACCTTACCTTAGTCTAAGATACATTTAGGTAGGGGGCTGCCGCCCGCCGATGCTGTGTAATTGGGCTTTCGATGTATCTTCAAAAATGCGGTGAACAAAACAGCCCTTGCTCTGCCGTGCATCGACTGCATTAAAACCCGCCCACTACCACACTGCGTCCACTCTGCATCCAGTACTATCCGAGGTACGTATCTTTTATATAGGTACTGCGTAGGCCACTTGCGCGTGTCGCCTCGTTCGCTACTGCATCTCTGCTCTAGCGCCACGTCTACTTGACGTCTCTCACTCTGCCCCTCTAAAACTGGGTAGCATTCGAGTAACGCAGTGGACCTGGGAGGCGAATTGGGAAAAGATGCTGCTTGCTGATTGGAATAAGAGAAGGTCAAAAGTCGTATCACGGGGTCGTGAAAGAGAGCGTGAGAAACAGAGCAGAGTTGAAATTGGAAAATAAAATAGGTACAAAAGACGAACAGAAGAGGAAAAGAAGACGGAAAAACGTGTATCAAGCCGGGGTAGACCCGGTAGAGGAATGGTCCCCTTAGGTAATGTCTCAACCGACTCGTCCAAATCAGCGAATCTCAAGTCCTGTGCAATTAATTCCCTAGACTCAATTGTAGAAGCTAGTTCGACCACTCTGAACAGCGGCGGGGTAATTAGCCCCCATTTGACACTCGCACCCCATGTTCCCATGTTTTGTGACTCGAGGACCCTGAATTTGGGGCGAACTGGTGTCTCGTGATCTCTCTTCCCTCACTTCCCCATGTTCTACTATTGCCCTCCTCTCTTATTACACTCATCCCTAGGATACCGCGATACCTCACCATACCGATTCTAGGTATCCAAAACAACAACAGGCGGTGACCATCACAACACACGAGTGGCAATGCGCCTCGTCCGTGTTGCTGCTCCATTCCGTTTTATCGTGCCAAGTACCTACCATAGCCTCAAGATACAGGTGACAGGATGGGTGCTGTCCCGTTCAAATGGTAAATTGCATCGAGCATCCCGGGTCACAGGTGGTCCCCAAAGCCCCAAACGTCTTCAGCCGTGCCTGCCGTCATCCAATCCGCAGCCCTCTAATTCCGTCCCCAGGCGACCCCTTCCTTCCTTCCTTCCTTCCTCCGAGTTTCCATTGTCCCCGTGACTTCCTCTCCTGTCCATACGGCAATACGCAGTACGTACCATTCTGGATGTCTCCAATATCCCGTGTCGAATTTCTCTTTCGCTTGCGCACCAGTCTTTTCCTCTCTGCCTCGTCAGCCCTGTCTGTTTTCATCGGCTACCCCTTGCATTAATCCCACCTCGAGGTTTCACTCTCGTCAACAACTGCCCTGCAACAAGAGCATCATTGGTGACCCTGCTCTCCAAGACGACGACGACGACAACCATCAGTACTGCTGACCGTAACTCCCCGAACCAGCGTCAGCATTCGTCTGTCCCTGGCTCAAGCTTATACCCTCGTGGCCGACGCTGATGTCAATCAACTTGGAGCATGTTGGGCTGTTCTCGCTTCGCTTGTCATCTTCTTGCGCCCGTCGTCTTGTCCGTGCCTCTTCCCCCGGTCATTTGAGGCCACCGAGGGAGCATTCATCATCTTGTCCCATGGCACAGCCCGACTTCAAACATACACAACCAAGTTCAACTTCACTTGGGCACCGACTACGTCAAAGAGATGGATTCCTTACGATACCTCGTCTCAGAAACTCCGTGCGACTCTCAGAGTTAACAGAAACAGGGCATAGAGTCTTACCTGCAACATCAGGTCACTCGACGAATGCATGCCAGCACTTATCCGTCAGCATCTGGTTCTCGGAGCCGACCCCGACGGACCTCGTCGATCATCCCCCAATCTCTGCGCTCACGCCTCCCTGGCAACAAGGCGTAAATCTTCTGCCTGCTTGTCACTCCTCTACGGATACCCACCACGAGCAGCCAGCGAGGCCTAGCATACCCCTGCTGCGCCGATAAATGTTCCCCAAATTACATCAGTCGCTGGCAAAAGCGTCCTGTTGCCGACTAATGGCTGCTCGTCTTGTCCTCGTCTGCCAGCCACCGCCCCATTCATCGCTCGCAATTACTCCAGCTCAATAGTTGTCCTCTCCCACCCCGCTGTGGCCAGCCCCTCCAATACCACAGGAAACAATGCTCACGGGTCCAAACAAACCAGAAATGGAGGGGCACGAGGGGAAAGCGATGCGAGTCAACATTAACCATGTTGCTGTTCGACATGACTGCAGCGTGGAGCAGCACCGCAAGTCCCAGATAGAAGCGGAATCCCATCGTGCTGGTTGAAAGTGGCTCGGTCTGAGGCGGATGACCGAGCGTCTGGCCGATAAGAAACATACGTCAGGTTACAACGGCAGCGCACGGTGCGGAGCTTCAGTCTCCAGATTCCAGTCACTCAGCGAGATTATCCTCCTCGGTGAGAGACCGACACCTTGGAGTTCGAATTATCGGTGCAACACTCTCCAACAAGACTCCAGGATATACCTATCTTCTCCAAGAGGCACGTATGTACCTCCATACGACAGGCATCATCTCCCAGCGTGTCACTGCGACAAGCCATCAACACAGGGGGTTGTCACTCGCACCATCATCCCGACAAACTCACCGCGTCTTTTCCCGCCATATTGCCTCGGTCGCCCAACCATGCTCCGATCAAGCTTCCCCATGCTCGCTTTTGTCGACCGGCCAAGGACCTCGGTGCGTCCAGCAGCCTAATTGCACGTCCCTTTCCGACACGCGACTGCTTCACCGACCTTCCCTTATTGTTCCTCACAGACCAGCGACCCAACGTTGCCCAAACTCAGCAGGGTATATGCCTTCTGTCCGGCTTTCGGAACCGCAACCTAGAATAACTGTCACTCACGGTCATCCCCGGGAGCTTCTTTTCTGGCCAGTGCCGTGGCCATCGTGATCATTGTTGATTATGTTCTGAAAGAGACCATCTACTATGGAAACACGTCGTCTACGTCTTGAGTCACACACCAGGTGACACCAGAATACCCGCCTGGTACACGTACTGGTCTCGAGTAGCACCGCCACGGCGATGTGTCGGGACCCCTACGGATAGAGGCGCCGCCTCCCATGCGCCAGTGCCAAGTTGAAATGCAGCACAAGCTGCAGATGAGACGCATACACGTAGGGCGGCTGCAAGCTAACAGCTGCGTCTCCTACGGGAACTCGGCGTAGATGTCCTAGTCGCCATGTGTTCGCTTGAAATTTTGACTGCCAGCACTCTATCGTTGAACAGCGTCATAACCATGTATCGCATTCTAAGTCGCACCCGTCGCGCACCTATTCTTGTTAGCCTGAGAAGCTGGCACCACCACCCCCACCCACACTATGTATTATTATATAATCAGTAGAGCTACATTAGCACCGTGCCAGAGCGCACTTTATACTTAGAAAAAACAAGCATCAATTACTACCACTTTTCAATAGTACCTAGAGGTAGATCGTGAGGGTAATTTTCTAATACCCTTAGGCCCCTCTAGAGCAATCTATCTCGTTATATATAACCGCAGTTATCTATTCATCGTTTAATAAGTAAATATTACTTCGTTGTATATTTATTAAAGGAGGGACAGAAGGCTACCCTGCCAGAGGAAAAGCGATATCATTAACTTAACATAAACCTAATATAAATATAATATCGTATTGCTCTTTAGGACACCTAACGCGTTAGAAATACTCTTAAGACTAGACCGTAAAAGGCCAAGTTTATATTTAGCAAAAGGACTTAAAAAAAAGTAATATATACAAAACACCCTTACTCCTTATAATACTTACGATACTTACTATACATACTACGAAAATCATTATTAAGAAGACCCTCGTGTACTAATGTAAAGGGCAAAGATATACCTTACGAAAAAAAAGACTATATTAAGAAAGCGGGATAAGGAAGTCGGGGAGCATAGCGGGAGTAGTATACGACAAATTTAGTAATAATATCCTTAATAAATCAACCTCCTAATAAAAAATAACTAAGCGAAATACTTAAAGGACTCGCTAGCCCACCCGAATACTATTAAGAAAATAATAATATTTAGACTAAATAATCTCTCTTACTACGATATTAACTAACAAATTACTTTACTTTAAAAAAATAACGAGAGAAGGCGGATATAAGTTAAGGAGAGCTATATCTACCTTAATATTACTAAAGAAAGTAAGCGTAAAAAGTAATATAAACTAATATTACTAGCAAAAAAAAGCCCCTACGGTTACTACGCACGATCTTAGAAAAACGCAATATTTACTACCTAAAGATCTAGGGACTTAGCAAATTTTTACTCCTTATTAAGCCCCGACAAGGCCCTAATAAGAGGCCTATATTATAAATCGTAGCTCACGGTTTTTAAAAAAGCCTAATTTTTAGTGGCTAGAGTAAAGGCTAATAATATCGCTTATACTATACTTACGAGGACTTAAACATTTTAGTAGGCATTTTTCGCTAGAAATAAGTTTTCGAACAGAGCGAAAATCGCACTTTCCCTTAGGGAAAAGGGGACTTAGCTAAATCGTAGCTCCTTCTTCTTTATAAGGGTAGTAGAGAGAAAATATTCTAAAAAGAAGAAGCATAGGGAAGGCGACCGGCGCATTAAATAATATTATAAAAAAGGACGCGAGTTAAAAACCCTTCCGACTTTATAATAATATAAACCTAAAGGGCTAGGTAGCCGTATTATTTAACTTATAAATTACGGAGCGAAGTAAAAAGAAGCTTAGGATAGCCCGAGTAGTATATACTACCGTAAACTATAACAAGCCTCGATATACCCCTAGAAAAGGGGAGATTTCCTCTCCTTTTTATTCTTAGATTATAGTATAATAACGCCCTATAAAGTAGACTTTTTAATTTAATATTATATTTTTTTTTTAAATTAACGCGTAACGGATACTATTATAACGCTATTTATTATAAAATAATTTATAATCCTTTTCTTTTTTATACTTTATATACGATATTACGACTACGTTCGTAGAGCAGATCTCGTTAAGAAGGCCCTCGAGAGAAGTCTAGGACGATATACTAATATATTACGCTTACTAAAACTTTTTATATTAATATTTAATATACTTAAAGTAAAAGGCATAGTAAAATCTATATCTTTTTATTCCCTTAACGTTTTACGCTTAATATAGTAATTCTCTAAGTTAAGAGTAAGTAACCCTATTTTATCGTTATTTAACTAGTTAAGCCCTTTTATATTTACCCTAAGTACCCCTATTAAATAAGTATCCTAAGATATATAAGTACTTACTAAGACTATTATTACTTATATAAAATAGCCTATTATTATAGATATTTTCTTTAGTTCTTAAGGCCTAACTTTTATTAGTTATAACCGAGGTATGTTTATAAAAGAGTATCTCGATTTAATAGAAACTTAAGTAAATAGGCTTAGAGTTAATAACCTTATTAAGGAAAATAGATAGAGAATTTATATTTTTAAAACTAAGCTTCGTTATAAAATAAAAGATTAGTTTAGTATTTAGAGTAAGGAAAACTAATAAAATTAGTTTAAAATTAAAAAAGCTTTTTAAAAGCGCTTTAAGGACCCCGATAGTATAGTAGAGAATACTAAAGTAATACGGGAGGCTTTATTATTTACGAGAAATAATAGAGAAATACTCTTTACTTTTTTATAAAGAGTATTAAAAATTTAAAAACGTTTATTAAAAGCTTATTAAGATATATTTACATAATAAGTCTTTATTACTATTCTTAACGGTAAGAAAGATATTCTTTTTTAGTAAAGAGTATTAAATAGGCTTTTTTATAAAAAGTAACTTAATAAATACGGGGTTCTATATAACTATATTTTTAGCAATTTAAAGATAGTTATTAAGCTATGCGTAGACCTAGTCCGGAAATAGCTTAATATTAATAACGAATCGGATATTAAAAAAGAGAACCCTTTTTATAAGCTTATTAAGAAATTTAAATAGCGTAACAATTAGAATACGGAACTAATACGAGAAGCGATATATAATTTAATAATATAGAGTACTAGATAGTAGGGAAGTAAGGATAAGTAACTATAAATACTTACGTAAATAGGTAGTAAACCCTTACGTAATATTAATATATTACGATATTTTAACTATTATAAGTAGGGATATATTAGCTTAGAATATCCCGAGCCTCGGAACTTAGCTACGTAAGTAAAGAATAAAGCTAATTAAGAAGAGTATAAGGCTAAGTATTTAAGAAAGAGATATAAAGAATTAAAAGCTAAGCTAGTTATTATTAATTATATTTTATTTTTTTTATTAATAATATGCGAGTTAGAGGAGACCGATTAATAGACTATAGGCGATGTTATTTTAAATATTATATTAAGCCCGTTTATTAATACTATCCCTATAAGATATAAATAGCTAAGTAATATAAATACGCTATTATATTACGACGTAATATTTTCTAAGAACTATTATAGTAGTATTTTAGGATATAATACCGTAGTTTAGAAGATTAATAATAAAATATATATAATAAAGAAGATACGAGAGGAGTTATACTTAGATATTTATAAAGATAAAAGAGGATACTTTTTTAAAAAAACGTAATAAGTTACGGAAAGGGAGAATAAAGAGATATTTTAGAAATACGTAAAAGAAGTTATATGTTTAGTAAGGGAAGCGTAGTATATTAATAAACGCGTTTTAAGAAGAGGCCCTAGTAGAAATAGTAAAGCTAAAGGCTTAAAGGGGAAGTAAAGGGAGTAAGCGACGCTATATTATATTAGTAGTTATTAAAATTATACCGGAGCTAAAGTTAAAATAAATATATACCCTAGGACCTTATTATTTATTAAGGGCATAACTAAGTACGACGTAAAGCTATTTAGTATTAAAGAGACCCTAAGGGATATTATTATTAATATAACGATACTATAACTCTTATAAATTAGTTTAATAACTAGAGCTAAAGTAGCCTTCTTAATATAAATAGACCTAGTTAAAATAAGAAAACTAAAAAAGTAAGGTAGGTTAGACCCTAAGGTACGAGTATTTAATATAAAGGAGCCCTAATATTATATTAACCTTATTATAAAAGTTAATATAATAAACGAGTAAAAGCTAAAGAGCGACGGTAAGGTATTTTTTAAAAATATTATATATAGTCCTAAGGATAGCGTACTAACTAGTTTAGGGTATATTAATAGTATTATTAAGAACGTACGTATCTTAAGTATCTTTTTAAATAGTAAATCTACTATTAATATTATTAACCTTACTTTTATTAAAAAATATTATATACTCCGGGTAGAAATATAAGAACTTATAACGATTAGATTAGTAAATAACTAAGTAATATTAGTATACGAATACGGTATTATAAAACTAGTAATAAGAGATATTTTAATAGTAATTTAAGTTATTATTATTAAACATAGTAATAAATAGGACCTCTTTTTAAATAAATAGTAATATAAAAGAGTCGGCGCAGTAGTTAATTATAAAAGTGAAATACTATTACTTTAAAAATAGAAGGGTTTAAAAACTATAGTACTTATTAAGCTATTACCGAACCTTATAAAGTTCTAATATTACTACGAGTATTAGTACTAGCCTAGGAATAAGCTTTATATAAATAATATATTAGAGATTAGTAACGATAATAATATTATAGAGGACTTAGAACGTCTTCTAGAGGAGGCTTATTGTGAGGTTACTAAACCTTATTACTAATACTTACTCTTAAGAAACGAGTAGACCTTTAAAAAGACTAGTACGTCGAGAGGTAGTAGTACTACTATTTAAACGCTAGCAAGTTAAAATATATATTAATAAAAAAAATAATATCTAAATTATTAGCTAAGGAGCCGTTTAATAAGTACGGATAATATAGTATTATTAAGAATAGGGTAATCGGATTAAGTAAGCAAAACCATTACTTAGCAC